TGGCTTTTTTCTCTCCCTGTCGGGGAAGAGGTGAGAAGTTCTCGCTCCCTTTCTTGCCCTTTGATGGAGATGAGTCAGGTTATTTCTTGGTTTCTTTACTCTCCTTTTTTCGGAGGAGTGTTTTCGCTTTTGCTTCCACTGGAGCAAGTCCTTCGTGGAGCAGTCGCAGGTATCTCTGTGCTTCTGCTCCGCTAAGACCTACTCTCAGAGGATCGTCTAGCTCGCCCGGTTCACCATGCGGTTGTTGATCGTGGCAACATCCATCTCCCATTTACTTCATGTTTTCTGTCGAGGCGGTGGCTTGACGAGACGGTGACGGTAACGTACATTATCAAACAAATTGCGCAACAAGGCGATGCGCAACGTTGCGTTGCACAACTGATTCAGCGGTCCATACATTATCAAACAAGTTGCGCAACTGTATCACCCATGCACTTTGATCAAAATTTTACTATTTTGATCAAACTTTTTATTAAAAGTTGTGCATTGTTTGAGAAACAATCAAGTCCTCAATTGCCATTGCGTCAATTATTATCGTATATACCCTAGATGATGTCAATGATACCAAAAAACGAAAAAGAAAACAAAGAATTTGGATGAAACAACTAAAATATTGCACAACGATGTATTACTCTGTAATTACACTGTAAATCAAACACAAACATACACTACACAACGCGCTGCGCAAACGCCTGTTGTACAAAAGAATTCAAACATTCTTGAAACTTATCAAACAATTGCGCAACGCATCAAACGTTACCGTACATTGGCAACTCGTTGCGCAACAGCCTGTGTTGCGCATTTTGTTTGATAATGTATGGGCCGCTTTATAGTGAGAATCGTGCCTAATCCTCGAGAGTCCTCAAATGTCATATACTATAGATTAATTAATTAATCTATGATTAATTTAATTTTGTTGACCTTTTATGTTGAGGCTAATAAGACACTATTTTTAAGCATTTTTTTTTAAATAAAGAAACTCTAGAACCTTTACTATTTCTTTGTCAGTAAATGACAAAACAATTAATTTTACGTAAATTTAGTTAAGTTATTAAACTTTCCGCGTGATATATGAAACCGTACACGAAAAATTAAAAGATATATTTTGAAAGTTCAAAGAGTACACGAAATTCTGGGCTTACTTCAAATCATGAAGCATTAAAAATGGCCACATAACATGGCCGCAATCCCTTTTTTCTTCATTTAATGATGGTTATTACTTCATTTCCGTTTGATGTTTCCTAAAAACCTTTTTCGGGCAGCCGGATTAGATTTATTTAATCATTACTACGGCTACGATTCGTTCCCATTAGAGCTAAAGTAGGCGAGTCTGATAAAAAAAATGTCATTAACATTAACCTGTGTGTGTGTACGTTGTGCTAAACCACCTGTTGCTCGTAGTTGCTACTGTAAAATATGGGGTTTAGATCGTTATGTGTATTTGAATAGGATTTATCTCGTTGAAGTTTGTATTTACCTTGGTAAAATAATTTGGTAAAACCGGACTTATTGCAAGGTTTAATTAGAAATAGTACCTATATTATAAAATAATATATACCAATCAAATAAAAAATATAACGCATTTTGAAGAACTACTATGTAAATGTATCATTTGTTAATTAATCATCAAAGCCAACTAAAAAAGATATGTTTCTGATGAATGAAGTAGAAAAATGTAAAATGCCTACCTGGTTTCGAATTTCTACATAAAATTACTTTACTCTAAAACTTGTTAAATTTTTACTAGTCACCAATGTACTTCATGCTTAAGTTAAATAATGCAGTTAGTGTGTATTTTTGATTAGGGGTGCGACGTTCCGGGACTGTCATTCCGGGACTGGAATGACAGTCCCGGAATGGAACATGCCAAGAAAATCCTAGCAGGGTCATCCAAACATAGAACAGGATAACTCCTAAAGGCCGGTAAGAATGGAGCGCGTACACTCACTGCATTGTACACGGGCCACTGCCGGCTAAGATCTCAACTACAGAGGATGGGACTGGTGGAAGACGCCGAATTCCGACTCTGTATGGAAGATGACGAAACAATGAAGTACGTTATGTGTACCTGCCCCGCTGGGGGCAGGACCAGGTTTGAGATGTTTGGCAAACCCATGCTAGACCTATCAGACCTAGGAGACATATCACCCTAGGACATAACGGCCTATGTTAAAAAGCTGGGTCTTGAGGGTGAACTTTAACGCTGTTTGTATATTAGAGTTTGTAGAAACTGAGCCACAATAGGCCCTCGCGGCCGCAGTGGAGAGTCCCATGGGACCCACTCTTAGTCAATACAATACAATACAATAGTGTGTATTGTGACATTCATGCTCATTTGCTTGGTAGTATTTTAAACTGTCTTTTTCCTGTTGGGCAAGTAAAGTAAAGTAAAGTAAAGTTTATTTATCAAAAAGTAAGGATTTCAATAACTACAATGGAAGTAATAAAAAAGATAAAACTAAAGTTCCTGAAAAATAAGAAAACAAAAATAAATAAAGCTATTCCTTAGTTATAGATTTTCTAATTCGGCAAATAAACTGAGTTGCTCACCAAAGAAATAAATAAATCTTGTCGGTGAGAAACAGCACTATTTATTTATTTAACAAATTCAGTTTAGAAATAATAACTTTAATTAAATAGACAAATTATATTACTATACAAAATAGAAAGATAAAAAAATATAAATAATTTTTTTATAATTTTTTATTATTATTTATTTTATTATATTATCTAATTCAGTTTCTTATAGGTATGTTGATCATCACAAAGAATGAAGCTTATATGATAGAATAATACCGGGTGTGTTTCTGAAAAGTGGTTCGCCTCTATAACTTTTATATGATTTCGGATAAAAAAACAAGATTTGGTATGTTAGTATATGACAAAAATTAAGATTGATTGATGTATTCAATTGTGTTCGATCACATCCTGTTTTAGTGGAAATGGCTGCAACTTTAAATTTTTGAATGGCATCTTCGTTTATTTGTTAGGAATACACATACCGGATTTTTCAAAAGTGATTTACACTTATAACTGTTTTTGGCACAAATTGACATAAATTAGGATTGATTAACGCATTCAATTGTTTTCGGTCATCTCCTGTTTCACCAAAAATTACTAAAATGTTTGACTTTTAAATGACACATTATTCGATAGAAAATACCACTCTGATTAGAATGACATATCATATGTAAACTTTTGACATTTTTTTTTAAATTGTATTTTAGATTTCAATCTAAAGTGTCATGACGTTACTAAAACACTAATTTTTAATTTAGGAGTCTTGGAAATTAGATTTGAACGTCTAATGTTTTACGTGTCTTATCCTGGCTGTTTAAAAAATTACCAAATCGTATTTTTAATCATCTCATTTTTTTAAATGGAACGAGGGTGGTTTTTTATTTGGAAAAGCATTTTTTACGAATAATTTGGTACCACATACTTGGTATTTTGAGTCAAATTGTCGTTATGAACCGTATGTTACTATTTAAAATAGTCCATATGCGAAAATGTCAAAAGTTGGCATATAATATGTCATTTTCTATCAAATAAAGTAAAAAAAAAATACCGAGGATGCTATTTAAAAATCAAAAGTTGAAATGACTGAAAACAATTGAATACGTCAATCAATTCTGATTGATGTCATATACTAACGTACCAAATCTTGTTTTTTATCCGAAAAAAAAATAAAAAAAGTTACAGAGGTGAGCCCCTTTTGAGAATCACCGGTTATATTATGGAATGTATACTTGTATTTGTATTGCAATTGATAATTATGTTTCAAGTTGTAGTCTACATAAAAAATTCTAGATCAAATGATCCAGGACAAAATGAACAAATGTATTTCTTTCCAGAGTTGAGAGATTCCTTGATTATTAAGAAGAAATATACAACATATTGACTATTTTAATAAGAAAATTAAGAATTTGAATTGTTGTCATTTGGTTGATTACAGAATCCATTCTGTAAGATTTTGAACCAACTTAACCAAAAAAAAAATAGTTTACTTGAACTTTATTGCGATATACAGGGTGAGTTTTCTACGATGTTCTCTATGGGTATCTCGAAAATTACTGGAGATAGAGAGTCGGTTAAAAAAGAAAAGAATTGCAGTTTTGTGGGGTCATAGATATGCGCCTTTCAGATTGTGGAAAAAATTCATGGCTTACTAGATATTTCGAAAAAAAAAACAAATTTCGTCTATATTACAAATTGTGTCTAATTTCATTATAATCTGTTTTAGACAAAAAAAATTAAAATAAAAGTTGTAGATAATCATATCTTTAATGATATCGTGTTCTCCGTGTTTTTCTTTCTAAATCCTGTCATTTTTGACATATGATACAAACATATGTTTTTTTTTAAATGGAAACTATAGTTGGCCATGACTTCATAAAAGGCGCCATTTTAAGCTTTTTAGCGATCTAAGCTATCATTTTTTTTTTCGAAAAATGACTGGAAAATTAAGTTTTAGGAAGGATACATCTATAAAAACCGTTGACGTTCTGTTGTGGCAGTGTTTAAAAAAATTACTATATTATTTTGTGGATTTTCTTACAGTGGCGAAATACCCATTGTTTTCAGATGAAATAAATAAATAAAAATTTTATTTTTTAAAAGCATTTGAAAAAGCCAAAAAAATATCTCTATCAATGCTCAAAAATACTAGGAATACAATTAAAGAACCTTACACAGACGAGGCTATGATTTTTCGTTTAAACCAGACCTATGCAATTTGGTTTTGTGAATTGGTCTGGTTTTGTTCGAATCGCTCGACTTTGAATCGGATTTTAAGTGGGAATTAACAAATTTTTTTTGAAATTAACTTCATCACCGGATTTATACCACCAAAAGAAATACGAATCGATCATTAAGCTAATTTAGCCCGACTGTGGAACTGTGGAGTTATCTGGTTTTATCTGATTACCCCTTATTTAGTTCGACGAATTTAAATACATGCTTAATTTTTTGTAAACAATTTATTTTATTATTTTTTTTAAACATAACAGACGAGAAATAAGTTAAGAACAGACACAAAAGACAATAATAAATAAATAAATTACACTGGACACCAATATGGTGTTAAAACACTAAGAATAGTCCGTTTGTACTGCAGCTATGACAGGAGAAATCTGTTAGTTGGCGGGAATTTGGGCTCGGTACGCCATCTCTTGGGCGCTCTTGGCGTCGAAGTTCCTGCCCCAACCGCCACCGCCCCCGTAACTGTCGTGGCCGCCGCTGCTGATGTGCTCGTGGTGCTCGTGGTGGTCGTGGTGAGGCTGAGCCACAACCTCGTAGGTCACGTGCTTGTCCTGGCTGAAGAGTTTTTTCAGGCCGATGATGACGGCTAGTACAAGGGCGAGCTGTAACAAGAGAAGTTTTGTTAGTTTGTAATGAAAAACGAGATTTAAATTGTCAATTTTTAATAGGATTTGGAGTAAAATTTAAAAAAGGACAAAATTCTGATTATGTATACGAATATATTGTTAAGTTGATCTGCAACAAAGTAGGATACGATGTAGAAAGCAAAAGAGTACAGTTGGAGGTTGGAATCTTTGGTAACAACAGTAAAATAAAACACTAAATCACAACAATATATCAAAACACTTTTGTTTTTACACAAAAAAATGTGTAAAATTAAAAGTATTTTAGTGTATTGTGATGATTTAGTGTTTTATTTTGCAATCAAAAGAAGACTGTGTAGGGCACGCAATTTCCTGACCAAACTTAACAATAGCTGTAATGTAACAAGTTGCGAAATGAATGTATTTTAAGCACGGGACGGAAGCAGTTTTGTGAAAATATGAGTGATAATGGCGAGTCTTTGGATATTCAACAAGCTGCTGAAACTGCGCTATCCACGTTAGTGCCCGAGAAGTCGAAAAACCTATACGAGACCATTTTACGATATTTTTTATTATTAGGCACTTTTAGATACTAGTGTATATATATACACTTTTAGATACTCGAATCTAAAATAAATATCAAAAACTGTCAATTTCAAAACGCTTTCACAAAAATATATGTTATGTGTAAGATTCAAGTAGCGTTTTCACTTAGCACCAAATTTAGACTAAATGAAGAGCCCTGATTTTTCTTATTGTCACCTATGTCTCTGATGTTTTTCAAATGTGGTATGCGAATGTGGTATTGAGATGCGAATACCGTACACAGCCTCATCATACAAACATTTCAATTCCACATTTTAATCCACATTTTATTCCTCCTCAACATTAGCAGTTCCTTTGCTGTTTTAGAATTAGATCTTTGGATGGAGAGCTTACTACGTCTCTACTTCTGTCTGTTTTTTTTTACCTAAATTACCTTTGAGCTCATGTCCACTTTATGTACAGCCTGACTCTCTGATTATATCTTCATATTTATTTTTTAAATTTTACAGTTTCCTTAGTCTATCCAAAATCGTTTAGCCTTCCAATATCCAATGCGCCAATCTATTCTAATGTTGGTAATTTTTCTAGGCATCTATGATTCTTATTGTGTCTCGTACTTTGGTATTCGCTACTCTGTCTATCGATATATCGCCTTATACAGGGTGAGTTTCCTAGGATGTTCTCTATAGGTATCTCAGAAACTACTGGAGATAGAGAGTCAGTTAAATGGGGAAAGAATTGCAGTTTTGTGGGGTCATAAATATGCGCTTTTCAGATTTTCGAAAAAGTTCATGGCTTACTAGATATTTCGAAAAAAACAAATTTTGGCTATTTTAAAAATTGTCCCTAATTCTATTATAATCTATTTTAGACAAAAAGTTTTCAGATAAAAGTTGTAGATAATCACATCCCTAATGAGACTGTGCTCTCCGATTTTTTCTAAAGCCTGTCATTTTTGACATATGACACAAAAATATGTTTTTTTAAATTTAAACCATAGTTGGCCATGACTTCATAAATAGCAACATTTTTTAAGCTTTTCAGCGATATAAGCTATAATATGTTTCTTTCACAAAATTACTGAGTTATAGCCAATTTTTATATTTCTTGACTAATTTTATTTAGTTAGCCATGGAAACAAGTTCAATCGTCGTTGCTCTCAGAAATGTGAAATTGTCACGTCCAATCTTTGTAAATTAAAATAAACAAAAATTGTAAATACGAGTTTTTCAGATGAATAAAAGCGTGTGGGTTCAACTTTTCTTGGCCATACAGTTTCGAGAATACGTTTACCGGTGAGCGTTACTTATGTTTTTTAGAGAACGGTTGTAAGAAATGTTAAAAATTATTTTATTATAATAATTATGTCGACTCAGGGATAGAAAGAGGTGGACCAATTGCTTGGATCTCCACGGTCACCTGACCTATCCATTTTAGATTTTTTTTATGCGGTATGGTTTACAACAAGGTTTACAAAAGAACTTATGAACTTATGAGAGGCACTCGAAGAGGCGGAACAGGAGAAGCTTAATTAAGTCGACCGGTCGTTCTGTGACAATAGCTAGAAATTCAGTTTTAAAAAGATGCATTTATGTACTCAAATCAATTGCGGATTTTTTGAACATTTTCTAAAATAACTTAAAAGTGTATGTATTGATTATTTTTTAAAGTTTTAGTTTGTGTAATGTAAATTGTAAAGAGCCGTTTAATAATATATTTTGTCTTTTTATAAGTTATAAATCATAACAAAATTAGAACACCATTGGAAACCGTTCTCTAAAAAACGTAAATAACTTTCACTGGTCAACGTATCTTGTATGGTCAAGAAAAGTTGAACCAATAATCCTACACGTTTTTCTTCATTTAAAAAAAAAATATTTACAATTCTTGTTTATTTTAATTTACAAAGATTGGATGTGACAATTTCACATTTCTGAGAGCAACGACGATTGAACTTGTTTCCATGGCTAACTAAATAAAATTAGTCAAGAAATATAAAAATTGGCTATAACTCAGTAATTTTGTGAAAGAAACATATTATAGCTTATATCGCTGAAAAGCTTAAAAAATGTTGCTATTTATGAAGTCATGGCCAACTATGGTTTCCATTTAAAAAAACATATTTTTGTGTCATATGTCAAAAATAACAGGCTTTAGAAAAAATCGGAGAACACAATCTCATTAGAAATGTGATTATCTACAACTTTTATCTGAAAACTGTTTGTCTAAAATAGATTATAATAGAATTAGGGACAATTTTTAAAATAGCCAAGTTTTGTTTTTTTCGAAATATCTAGTAATCAATTAACTTTTTCAAAAATCTGAAAGGCGTATATTTATAACCTCACAAAACTGCAATTCTCTCCCCATTTAACCGACTCTATATCTCCAGTAGTTTCCGAGTTGCCCATAGAGAACATCGTACGAAACTCACCCTGTATAAGAGAACTTCCGTTGCATGATGTGTGATTTTAAATTTGTTCGCAGTTTTCTGCGTCAATGTTCGGGTCCCCGTACCATAGGTACGTCAAAACAGACAGAAGTGCATCTTTAAAATGTTATTTCAATCATCGGCTCAAGTTAGGTACTCATATTCTTCTGATAAGCTCCAAAGTTCGGTTACCATTGCTTATACGTTTTTTATTCAAATACTTGTAACCAGGTTTCCATAATTTGATGTGTGTTAATATAATATACTCGAGTGACAATTACAAGGTTTATCAATATCTGGGTTTCTGAGATTGGAATTTTGATTTTTAATACCAGAATTGTTCAGAGGTCAACCAAAGTTTTTGTAACATTTCTTAAAATTTATTTATGCTGTTAGATAGCAACTCCAGCGTAGTACACCCCGTATAGTGTTTTTCTCAATTATGGATTTCTTTTTTGAAGTTGAGTCAAAGAGAAAAATAAGTACCCATACGCTTCCTTTTTTCAAGACGGTGAACCGATTCATTGCTATATTCAAAAAGAAATAAGAATCAGATAAAAACCATAATAATATGATTGTATAAAATTTAATTCTGATGATACAGTCCAATTGCTAATAGTCCTGAAAAAACTACAAGCACAAATTAATGGACTAAATACAGCCAACAATAAAGTGGGTCTCAAAATAAATTTAGAAAAAAACTAAAGTAATGTACAGCTGGTTCCAAAAAAAATGAATACGACTTTTTACACATTTTTTCGAATATTTGGGCAGTGTATATTTAATGTGTCAAGTATTTTGACATGTTAAGGTTCTTTTAAGGTTATTGTGACATTGTATAAAACAACTTTGCTTTTGACAAAGTGGCAAAAAAAAAATTCAGGACGTCAGCATGACATGAGTAGAGAAATTGGGGAGGGTATCATAGAATGTACTGCCCGAAATAATAAAAATATGTTTTAAATCGTATTCAATTTTATTGGAACCAGCTGTACAACGCAATAGCGGAAAGTAAAGACATTTTAATAAATAGCACAATACTGAAAATAGTAGAAGAATATATATATATATTTGAAGAAACTCAATTATATTCAAATCAAGAATGCCACTCTATCTAAAGAAGATAACAGTTGACCAATGTGTACTACCAGTGTTATGATGTACTATTTATGCATGCAAAACCTGGACACTTAAAAGGACATCATAAGGAAACTGCAGGTCGCACAACGTTCAATGGAACGAAATATGCTGGGAATAACCAAGAGACGCCATAAAAGAATAGAGTGGATACGACAAAAAACCAGGTAATAGATATCATCCACAGAATCAAATCCCCCAAGTGGCAATGGGCAGGATACCTGGCAAGAAGCACGGACAACCGATGGACCACAAAAATTGGACCACAAGCATGGTACCTACGAGGAATTAAGAGACCTAGAAGAAGACAAAACTTAATATGGGACCATGATATTAGAAAATTAGCAGGGATAACTGGGGCCAACAATAAACAACAATGGACCCAACTACAAAGAGAGTATCTAAATATTGTCAGGAAGGCTACAGCATAATTGGAAATTGTTTAATAAGCTGAAAATGATGATGCTTTATGCAGTCGGATAACAAGACTGTGGCATATGCAAATCGCAGGTAGTTCAAGACTATGAGAGGTTGATTTTATAGATTTAATAAATTCAAGATAGTAAACCAAGTTTTTACTACTTATTACAAAAATTAATATGAATAATGAGATCAAAATCATATGATTTAATTCACGGAAACTGAAGCATCCTGTACGTCACACCCATATAAAAGAAGCAAATTAAAATACTTAACAGGTTGAAATATGCGTGTAAATCCCCTTAAGGCGATATTAGAAAATGGACAAGCATCTCCACGCGATATATATCTATGTCGAGATGGAAATCGACGGCCAAAGAGAATGGCTATAACGAGCGCCGCATGCTTCAGTAGAAAGTTGTTCATTTCTCTCCGCAGCAACGCAGCCTCGTGACCCAGTGATCTTGACTCTTTCCCGTATACG